CAAGAATTTTGTTGAGACTGGTTGTTCTGTTCGCCATGACAAATCTCCAGGTCGCCCGCGTGTTTCTAGTGCTGTTTTGGAACGAGTGAGGGAGAGCTTTGTCCGTAGTCTAGCGAAATCAACGCCTGCCAATCTCACTGAGCTCAAAGCTCGAATCACCGCCGCAGTTGCAGAAGTGACACCGGATATGCTGGATCGTGTTTGGCAAGAAATTGATTTCAGGTGGGATGTCTGCAGTATCACCAATGGCAATCACATCGAACTAAAATGACTGTTTGAGGTAAACCTTGATTTGGTTTGCTACAAAATGACACCTCAACCGATTCTGTAAGTCTTCTGAATAAATTTCTATACACTTTCAAAGTTGTAAAGTCCTTTTTGAATCACCCTGTATATTGCATCGCCGCATCCTCGATAAGCTTATTTCATACAAACATTTTCTGCTAGTAGCAGGAACGTCAGAATCGATTGAGTTTGCTGACTCTTGACAAGGTGTGTGGCTGTACTCACATGTGGCTGAAGTATCTCCTGTACGGACTTCCCTTGCGTATGGTCATTGACGCCATGTGCGAGAATGAAGCCTTTGGAATGGGCACGATATTACACGGCAAATATGTCTCGAGTCCTCTGAGAGATGACAGCGACATGACCGCCCCGTATTTGTCTTTGCTACAGAACCTCTTCAGAATTTCTACGTAATTGTTTGGGAGATCATCTTTGTAAGGTTCGATCAGCTTCTTATACACGTTTTTGAACACGGGATCTACAGATTTCTGAAAGGAAAAGGAGAGAATGTATTTTCTTGATTTTAAGACGCGCTCCTTTCACATTTTAAAATTTCTAAAATCGCGGTGCGTCTTATATTTGATGGCGTCTTCAAATGGAAGGAATGAGGTACGTCCGACATTTCAGAGGTCCTTGATGCCTCCATCATCAGGGTACTCGTCGCTGTGATGATGAATTTGAAACGGCTGTCGTGGTACATGCTGAGTGCAGATATCTGCAGGAACTCAGGTGGCAAGTAATCTGGTCCAAGCGGTTCCATCCAAACTGGAGTCGGAATGCTTAAGTTAATGTTAATTAGTTTCTCGGTCTGTCCTCTCCCCTGTTGTGGTAATCGTGAACTTCTGGGTTTTAAAATGCAGCGATATTTGCTATGGTCGGAGATAAAATATCATGGGACGTGTGTGGTATTTGTGGGTCTTTCGCAGAATTGACGCTTCTCTCTTGACAGGTTTGCAATTTTACAGGTTCCTCAAAAGAAGTCTGATATTGCGCTTTTGAAATCCCACGGAGAGACCTTCACGTGTTTTATACTTTTATGTAAGTTGATAAAAATTGTTCTGCCGTTCTGTGGCAAAACAAGTTCACGGCGAGTATGAAGATGTTCCTCTTCTGGATGTCGCGTGGCGTGGTCTGGCAGCTCTGAAACGTCGGTAACTTTCTACCGGAAGACGGACATCTTCAAGTCTACTACTGTTTACTACTTAGTTAGTGTTCTGTCTGACGACAGGTCCATATGAACAGGATCCTTCCATCCTCTTCTCGGACTGGGACCTGTTCATATACGTTCTTGGCAGATGATCCAGAAGTGGTTTGCCATTGCCTTCTTCTGTGGGGGAATGGGATGCCACGGAGAAACCGGGGAAGCCCCCGGAGGAAAACCCCGTGTTGCCTAGACCACGATCTTGCCCAACACAAGTTATAAATTCGGGCACCGCCGGGAATCGAACCCGAGACACCAGGATTACAAGGCCAGCGTTCTAACCGCTAGACCACCTTTAGTGTTCTGTCTGAGGACAGGTCCATATGAACAGGATCCTTCCATCCTTTTCTCGGACTGGGACCTGTTCATATACGTTCTTGGCAGATGATCCAGAAGTGGTTTGCCATTGCCTTCCTCTGTGTGTGAATGGAGTAATTGTTCGGATGCCACAGAGAAACCGAATTGCGTAAACATTACGTAACAAACGACCACTTGAAAGACGAAGATGAGATTAGAGTACAATGTTAACATTCTTACTGAGCCGAGATAACTTCTCAGGGACTAGCTCATGGTTTCGAGTTTCGTAATAACGTACTGACCCTTCGGTTTACGAGACAAAGTAAAGCTGCCTCAGTATAGGCCATGGAGGCGCTTGGGGGGAGGGGAGGTATTGCGCCTAATAGTTTTTAATTTTGGCTCTAAATTAAAGCGAATGGTCAACGATCCCCTGTGCTTGTTGGGGGGGGGGGCGGCGGCTAGAAGATAAATCCTTCGCCTCTGCCGTGGATCGAACCGCGGTCATCCGCAAAGATTTTACCGACTGAGTTACCCGGCTCGCACTATTACGATGTAGTCGGATTTGAATTTATACAACTGATTCAATAACATCAAATGGTAGACGAAATAGACGTGAGATACCCTAAAATAGTCGATATCTGCAGAGGCGGCCAGAACATCGACTCGGTATGTGCCATCATCAAGGGCGCCCTGAAAGTCTGAGAAGGGTAAGTGATGATGCTGAACGGTGAGGAACGAGATGAACGTGGCTGAGTACGAGATGAACAGGACCAGAGAGGTGGCGTGCGTTGTGAAATAGGCCAGACGCGAAGAAGTGGTCCAGTTGGCGCCGCTGTCGCCTGCGGAGAGATTGTTCATTAAGTCGTGGCTTCCACGGGGCTAATTACAGATTAATACGACATTTATTGCGACTTAAAATGTTTCGGTGCGTCATATTTCAAGGTCTTCACTTCTCCCATAAGTTCTTAATGTGTTCGTGATGTATTGTCATTGAAAATTTCGCATGCCTAGGCCACGTGTAGTGGAACCTAGTCACGTGACATGTCTCGAAAAGTCATTAAGATTTGTTAATGATTTTTTTTTTTTTAAATTTAGGCTATCCCAGAATGTGGTTGTGGTCGATTGATAAGGCAAATTGGTTTCTACTGAATACTTAACTTATAGTAAATTTATATTGCTAAATGCAATAGCTCGGTCAGTATAGTGACTAGCTACGGGCTGGACGGCCGGGGTTCGATCCCCGACGGGGGCAGATTTTTACTCTAGCCTCTGCGTCCAGACCGGCTCTGGGGCCCACCCAGCCTCCTCTACAATGGGTACCGGGGTCCTTTCCCGGGGGTAAAGCCGGCCGGGGCGTGATGCTGACCACTCACCCCCATCTAGTACACGAGGTCAAGGAAGAGAGGAGCTATACCTCCACTCACCCCAAGCGCCTACATGGCGTATAGTGGGACAAACTTTACTTTACTAAATGCAATTTTTCTTAGAGAAGATAAACATAATTTATTTCGGAAGGAAAGTTATAAACTAAGGATTAAAAAAATAACCATTTTTGCCTTTTTGGCGGAGAATATTATTTCATGGTCACTGCAATGATTTCGTACATATGAGAAACCAGTTTTGGAAAACACTTTGATAGGATAAATATAAATTACTTTGCAGAAATTGCCTTTTTAAACACTCAACCGGAGACTAAAATGTCAACTCTTTGGACAAATAACAAATACCCCATATAATAATAATTATAATCGTATGTATCATTCAGGTATTTTTGAAGATTTCATTATATGTGATTTGGAACTGTTGTGATAATGTTTCAGAAGTTGAACTGTGCAAAAATATTTTCATTCTCATCGATACAGCGCATTAAGGACTGTGCATTACTCACCTTGGATACAGAAACCGCCGATGACGTAGAGAGCAGATCGAGATATGCTTTCAATTCGGTTTCGAACTCTCTGGGTTACACGTTTCATGCCGACACCCCACGTAACGTGCAGAACAATAGTGTGAAATAACATTGTCACCAGAAACGTCAGCCAAAGTCGGGAGGTAAATGGTGATAATATGAAATTACGAATTTCTGCTTCATTTTCGCTTTGCCTCACGTGGAGGATCATTCTGTAAAACCCAGAAGACATAAATCTTCAATATAAACATCGCTATAATATACTGGATACTGGGATCGACCCGTTCTTCAAGTGCCTGAGCACTGCGGGTCCCAACTCTTCATTTGCTCGATCTATAGACATTTTGGTAGGACTCCTTGGATGAGGGATCGGCCCGTCGCAAGGCCTCTGCCTGTACACGGGACAGCACAACACAGAAAAACGCGAACAGACATCCATGGATTCAGTGGGATTCGAACCCACGGTCCCAGCGACCAAGCGGCACAAGGCCCACGCCTCAGACAACGCTACGAGGTGCGATCGGAAAGTTTCCAGACTGCGCGTATAAAAACCCGTACACTTTGGCGAGTGTTTGGCAAGAGATTCAGGCAGAATTGCAGATGGTGCTTGACAGGCTGACAAAGAAAGATTTCCAGGGATGCTTCCAGGCTTGGCAGCGGCGCTGGGATCGTTGTGTTCACTCCCAGGGGAACTACTTCGAGGGTGATGGATGAATTTAATACCTGAGATAAGTGTACGGGTTTTTATAGGCGCAGTCTTGAAACTTTCCGATCGCACTTCGTATATGCAATTGAAAATAAATTAAGCATAATTAAGATTAATATGTATACTTGGAATTCCATATCGGTGGGAGAAATGCGATGGAGTTTATGCGTTCTGTTGAGAAGGCCAAGATGTTTATCCCGACGTCAGCGTCTTCCCTGGCTATCATCCCCACGACGCCGCCCCAAGTCCCGTTCTCGTCCTGGTTCCCGTAAGTGCCGTCTGCTGGTTCAAGGTACTCGGACCTGTGTGTTAGGAAGACGTCGTGCATATGCAACACCCGACCTTCAGCCAGACCATAATGCAACACGTTCGGAAATTGTATTCCGTATCGGAACATCCTCCTAATCGCCTTCACTTAACATTAATAATAGGCGTTATACACGAGGACATACGAACTTACCTGTCACCATGGACTATTGCTTCAGAAATTCCGTATTAAATTAAATTAAATTGTGTTGAATAAATAATATTTATGAAAAGAGACTTCAGGTTTTGTGGCGGTGAAAATGTTTAATGTGGTCTTCTGGGTGTTGACGCTGCGTAATCCTGTAGGTGGTTGATAACATTTCGAAGAGACGTGTCGCCTCCATCTTCAGAATACACTTCTACCCTGAAGATGGGGTAGCATCAACAAATTTAAACCGCCACCCTTTTCTGACTGTAAAATAGAATTCTTCTTAAGGAGCTAATAGTTGCTAAGCTAGTCAATGAATTACCTGTATTTTATGGGACGTTAAAGTTCATCACCGTGCTGATAACAGCCCGCCCAGGACTTCGTCACGCGGTGGTTTGTGCTGAGAGGGTTTAGCCGCTCGCTTTCCGCTCGGCGCCTGTGAATTCTGCACTACAATCAACTGCACGGGACTGGCTTGCGTGTTGCCTACACTGTGGAGTAACAACTTACGTGAAATTCATCCGTTCCTCCATCTCGTTCCACAGATCCCACACGTACCCAGATAGCGTCGACTGCTGCTGTCCTCTGTCCGCCGTTCTCGTAAACTTTAGATGGGGCACCTGCAAAATCAATGAGACAATGGGTCATTTTTTATTTGTAGTGTTCTGTCTGACGACAGGTCCATATGAACAGGATCATTCCATCCTTTTCTCGGACTGGGACCTGTTCATATACGTTCTTGGCAGATGATCCAGAAGTGGTTTGCCATTGCCTTCTTCTGTGTGTGTGTGTGTGAATGGAGTAATTGTTGGGATGCCACGGAGAAACCGGGGAAGCCCCCGGAGGAAAACTCCGTGTTGCCTAGACCACGGCCTTGGCCGACACAAGTTACAAATTCGGGCACCGCCGGGAATCGAACAAGAGACCCCAGGATGGGTCATACAATTACATAACTTGGTGAGATTCTATTTTCTTACTGCGTTGACTACAAAGATGGCTGTCTTCTGGGCTGTTAACGCTGTGTAGTATTGTAGAAGTTTACGGACGTTTCAGATATTCTCCTGTCCCATGTACTTCCTCCCTCTTGGGTCCAAATATATTCAGAAACGTCTTCATAAATAATCGAAATCTCTGTTGACCCTTAACGGTTAAAGTTTCATGCATGAGAGTCATAAGTGATATCACCTGTTTACGGAAAGCAGCTTTTATGGTTATACCATGAAGATTTCTTCGTCCCTGAGTAGTCGGTGTGTTGAACCAGACAATGCCACTGGATGAACTCCATTTTGCCACAGGATACTCTCGTAATGGCAGAGTTGGATGGACGTGGTACACCTCAGTGAGCAATACCTTTTCTTCTGTTTTCCCAACCAATCGCAGGGCTACCAAGAACTCACAGTCAAACGGAACGTGAGTGTCAGTCAAGAACTCTTTTGGCGACGTCGTGTCATTGAAGAATACGAGCCACGTTCCTTCTGGAAAGTGTGAGACCTGCAATGTCGCAATCATGTTATTCTTAAATGTAGCACCGGATCTGATATCAGATTCAAATTTGCTAAATTTGTATTTATTAAAGCAGTTCACCGATGTCAAAGCAAACTGCGACTTCCAGTTGCTGGAAGGGATGACGTAGAGCGGCCGACAGTGTCCGTTGACACTTTCGAATTTGTCCACGGGTATACTCGTTAGTAAAATGTTCTTCTTTCCAAAGAAACTTTTCCACTTGATTGACTCAAACCTTTCTTTAAGACCTGTTAATAGAGAATTGAATATATTACAACCAAAATATATTAACAACTCCCTCAACAGTATTTGTTACGGGCCTAACTGTTAAAATAATTGGTAAATGACAAGTACCTTTGGGAACAATTATTCAACTACGTAAATGCCTTAACTATTGCTTTGTTAAAACATTAAAGTCAAATCACAATAAAATAGTAAGATAAGATAATTAAAATGATTAAAATATCATCTTATGTTCCATATCGAGCATTCGATTTACATCGGAACATTCACAGCATGTTTCGGTTTATCAAACCGTCATCAGGTGTAAATTATAAACTTTTAAACTCAAATTACAATTATTTATAGTTTTTACAATTTTATAATTTTATCATCTTTCTCAGTATATTTTATGGAAGTTGTGTTTAGATATTATTAATATAACATTATTTGTTGAGGTGGTGTTATTGATGTTTATACCAGTCTGTGAAGTAAAAGATTTGAAAATATTAATGAAATATGATTGAATATAGAAAACAAAATGAACTAAAATAATATATAATAGCAAATAAACATACCATATATGAAATAGCAGTCGGTTCAGATGTGTTCAGAGGAGAGATCCAGAAGTGTTACCAAAAGTACGTTCATATTTCGTTACCTATCGATTCCTTCAGGTAAATGTTGCGAATACGTAAAATCTTTTGAGGTACTCTTCGGTGTTTTATGCTGGAGTAGCAGGCTAATTCTTCCTACTCGATGCCCTTACAGAAGAGTTCTTACCTGATTCTTGCGTCGAGTGAAACAGGTAGATACACCCCGATCTGTACTTATGTAACACTTCCATGGTAATATCGAAGGCTGTGTTCAGTGGAAACAGACTAGCAGTCACAGTAATAGGACACATTGCAAGAATAATGAGTAGCATCTCACTGCAGAATTTTCTATAGAATATAACAAAAAGTACTATAGCCACTTATAGAAATCGGATAACATTAGTTCAATTTCCAAACTCAATATTGTCTTCTTCAGAAATATTTCAAGATATTATCTGTTGTTTAATGAACTCCTTTAAATGTAAAAGTTGTTTGTTTATTAAATTATTAAAAAGGCCTACACGAGTCGTTTTATCGTATATTAATTTATTTTGACGGAATAAAGGTGTTCTAATGTTCCTCATGTGCTCTACATGAGAATGTACAAGACGTTAAGTAAGTTTAATATAAGACCTCTCTTCGAATAGTGAGTGTGCTGAGTTTATTTCTATGTTTATTTAACGCTTGAAGAAAAAACAAAAAACAAACAACTATAATTTTAAAACAAGCTACTGCTAAAATAATTTTGTTTATAAAAAAATACAGATTCGTGTTGTACAGAATCTTTAATTTACAAACTGTATCGGACGAATGTTACTTTATAGACCCTCATTATATCGTCGATGCCAGTTTCTCCATTCGTTGGGTTAACATTAACTTTCTTGTTTTATTAGATACCGGAGTGTGCGTGCAGAGAACCCACAAAAAATTACAGTTGGCGTAAATTAATCCTTTAATGTTTCAGAGGCCATTGCGAACTTCTACTGAATAAGAAATACTTGATGTTTTTATTATGCGTTCTTTGACTGAAAGAGGCCTACATAAAATTGTCGTACAGATGGAGTTCGTCTCTATTCTTCCAGCTAAACGGATTTCTATTAAATGTGGTAACGTTTTAAAACACTGTCGTAACTACCACCATCCAGTTTTCTGAAAAAAATAATTAAATGTGAGCCTGAGCTACGTCATAGTAAGAAAGAAAGACATTTTCTGATTGACCACCAATGTGTATATTTTATGACCGTGAACGAAGCTCTGTGATATCTTGCGATAAGTATTTTACCCACATGAGACTCAGATGATTATCAAAATGAATAGAGATGATTTCCCTAAACAACCTTAACCAATTAACATTCTTGACGGAGAAGTGTTTTATGTTCTTTACTGATAAATATTAATGGGAATTTCCGCACTCTGGCGTAAGCGACGAGAACTTCATGGCCCTCAAGATGGCCGTCTTCCGAGATGTTTCGTCGTGTGGTCTGTGCAGCAATGACAGTTTAACAGCTGTTTTTGTGAGTCATTGCTTTAACAATGGAAAGCGAGGTCACTGTTGGGGCATATAATTACACCAGTGGGATACAATGGAATTGTTGATTCATGACAATGGCCTCAGATCATATTATTAAAAACATTATCGTGGATATATTTGTTGTCTCTGTAGTTTATTTCGTGTAAGAATGATTTATGTTCGCAGTTCCGTTGAATAACACTTTTAAATTGTCAGTGTACTCCAGTCTTGTTTTTAAGGAGGTTATGGTTGGTCGAATTTAAGTTTCGTTCGAATCTGTCAAAAAGCACCTACTGTTGCTACAGATGAAGTTAATACCATTATAATTTTTGTCAAAAATGAGCTAGTTTAACGTATTTTAAAAATGTGTACTTGCTAATGAATCCATCTTATAAATAAATCGACATTACTCTGGAGTGTAAATTGATTTTTGCATGTTTTTTAAGTCTGAACGCCTGTCTCAAGACTAAAGCACATTCAAACCGAGAAACTTTTCAATTTTCTACACGTGATACGGCGATTGTATGTAATCATGAAGTTCGTGACAAGTTAGAAACACATTTGGGTCTCTAATAGGATGTTTTTGTGTAAGTTTTTTGTTAATTTATTCCAAGAAGAAAACAAAAATGAAAATCTATACTCCATTACATGTAGGATATTTTCCAAAATTAATTCCTTGCGACACTTAATGTCAAATATTACTGCAGTGTTACTGGAAATTAAAACCCAGAAAGATAGATGTTTGTTTCCTTGTATTTCGTCACATATGTATCTCATCAAAGTGATTAAATACAGATTAATCGATTGTAATGAAGTCTGTATTTTGTACGATGAGTCGGTTTTCATAAAGTTTATTAAGTCTGATCTGAACTTAATATAAATTACTGATTTTGTTGTACCAAAATTCAAGTTGCATCACCAGTTTGAGTGTACACTCCTATTAACAAATTCGATCAAAATCGTTTCGGCACGTTTGACAATATAGATCGAGGACACACAGGAGAGACATAACCTGCCATTGTGCATTCATTTTATGCACTTGATGAAGAAAACTTGTGATGGTGATGCCTGATTTTAACTAAAACTGGAAATGTGTTGAAAATTTTCAATAAAACTCCCTAATATAAAATATATATTTTTTTAAAATTTATCGAGAAAGGAACAGAAAGACCATTTCTTTGATGAGAGTTGATAAAACAAAATCTGTAACAAAAACCAAGTATTTCTAGTGAAAGATCAGATTTTATGAAAATCCATTCAGCGATTTTTGATTGTAACATGCGGTGAGACAGACTTGGTAAAGCTAATATGTGCCTTTTTGCAACGTCGTTCTGAACGAGTCTAGCCACACAATTGTAACAGATATGAATATATGAAATATTCCTGTCACGGCGGCTACAATTTGGCAAAGAAACATCACAGGATGATGACATGAGAAAATGCTGTTATGCCAGGCCTCACTGATATCGTTTCACCTTGCAAAGTACCGGTAAGTGCACGAGGCGTTAGGTCTAACGTAGGTCTTTTTACAACTTTGTAAACCATCGTCATACCATCGTTATAAGAATGTAATCGACAAATGGCAGACGCGTGGAACTATTTCACGAGATCGGTTAAACTAATAAAAATGTACACACATAAACTTTGAATTGGAAACTAACCAGATAGTGAACAATCTGTTTTAGGAACTTTCCGATACCACAAATGACTGCATTATGTTAAAAACATTTTCTTCTTCAAAGAACATTTATTTCTTCAATAAAATTTGACTTAAGTATAAGATTTTCAAGGCCATGTCAGTTATGAATGTGGTCTTCTGGACTGTTGTGCTTCCTTCATATTCAGGGTTAAAGTCTGAAAATCGGTATATAACCACAAAGCTACGTAACCCAGAACACCATGAATTTACGACAAAGTCCATATTTCTGTATGTGGGGTGGCCATGAGGGAACTGGAACATGTGACCTTACTAACTTCATCAGCCGATACAGCAAGAAAATCTAGCATTGTGATACTTCAATATACTGGATACCAGGAACGACCCGTTCTTCAAGTGCCTGAGCACTGGGGGTCCCAACGTATCGTTGGTTTGATCTATGGACATTCAGTACGACTCTTTGGACGAGGGATCGGCCCGTCGCAAGGCCTCTACCTGTACACAGGACAGCACGACACAGAAAAACGCAGACAGACATCCATGGCTTGAGTGGGATTCGAACCCATGGTCCCAGCGACCTAGCGGCACAAGGCCCACGCGGCCACTGCGGACCCTAATACTTCAACATATCCCATCAAATTACATGCAAAACAGAGATACAATATTTAACTTAATTTCAAGTTCAATTTAAGTATCATATCAATTTTAATCATAATTAATAATAGATAATATAATAATTTTGAGGATATTAATATCTAATTAAACGTACATTTCAACAGCAGCCCGGTAGACAACCTCCTTCCTTCATTTCTATTGTGTAACTAAGAATTTTAGCTCTGAATATGCGGTGCTTTTATCATTATTAAATGAACAAATAAAACGTACTTGGGGAAGGAGTGAGAGTTGGTTTGTTACTCGGAGCCACTGGCGTAAATGGCAACATTCCAAATCCCAGCAGTTAACAGTAAATGAATGAATGTGTGTGTGTGTGTACACATAGAATGTCGCTAATAACACATCTTCTTTATTACAAATATAATCTTGATGCAGTACAAAATTTTTACAATTGAGTATTCCAAGCGTCTGTCTGTATAACTGACGGAAGTGAAATAGCAAGGCGGTGCATCATCCTTGATTATGATGCTTAACGGTACATTTTCAATGCCACAGATGTTGGTGGATGGCACCTAGTGGGGTGGTGTTTTACTGCAAATTCTCATTGAAATTACAGTGGAAATTTCTGTTCCAAGGCTTCTGTGGGCAAAATGCGGGGGGTGTTGCAGCAGGATTTAACTGCACTTCTGCACTCATAAATCGGATAACGATGTACATACTTGACTGACTTCAGTCTGAGTCACTGTCAATAATGTCACGGATACGAGAGAACCTCTCTTTGATTAAGGCTGTTTTCTCTTCAGCATCGTGTTTGAGGTCTTCATTGTAATTCTTGGTGTAACTGCATCGACTGGATCGATGAGGCCTCCCTGTCACAAATGCATGAATTATATGTTTTGCGATAATCACATATGTTTGGATTTGAGCATATTTTAAGTTGGTATAAATAAACAAATATCAAAGGCCTGGAACTCGGTGAAGATAATTTTAACTGAAACAATTTCTCTGGGTACTGCTCACATGAGTCAAAGACATTCCAAGCTTTACATTCTCAGAAATTTAATATAAAGAACGTATTGGGTGTCATTAAATCACCCCTTATGCCGAAATGCTGTCCATAATAAAATATAGTAGGCATACGGCGAAGCTTTCCACATTCTTAACCTCGGCTCCAGGTGGAGGTATGTGGCAAAGTTAATGTGTGTAACCCCATGCCCAGAATGAGTTGTTTTTCCCAACTGACCCAACAAATTACGATGTTTTGTTTCATATGATAACAGATGCAGTAGCCTCTTTCTGAAATAATGTGCATTAGTTTGAAATTAAGACAAAAGCAAATGGGTCAGCTCCAAACGAGTACTTTCAAAATGAATTCTTAATGAATTTGAATCTGAAGTTAATTGTTTCAGTAAAATGGTTTAAAAAAAATT